CTACAGAAGCGCAAGGGATTTATTAGTCTAAACATTGGAACACCTTTGAAAACAGCTTTTGACTTTTGACTTTTTAAAAATTTCATGCCTGTTTAGCATAAGGAAAAATCGCCACAAACCACTGGAAATATTTTTTACAAGCGCGTAATATTTGCTCCACCGATCGACAGCTTTGGGATCGCATCGCTCATGAACCTTCACTTTTTTAGTAATGTAAAAAAGATGTCGATCGCTGGTTGCGAATGCAGCAAAACCCAACACCAGCCCTTACGCTCCATGGCCGAAAACGAAGTTCATTACACGCCTCGCAGTTCATTTAAAAAGTTACATAAACGTCTTCATTTTTAAGAATGCAGCTGACAGCTAATATCGAACGGGAAATCAAATATTACTGCGGATCGGCTGCAGCATCTCTCTGTGCAGTCACTGCGCATAGGCAGTGAAATTTCGTTATATCCCAGAGGTACCGACCGAAGCTCCATATACAATATGCGACCTACTCTTTCACAGTACACTCCTTAGCTAAGAAATTTAGGTTTTTGGTATCGTTCAGTTTTCATCTGCTCATTATCAATGCACTGGGAGATAGCGTTGAAAACAGTGCCTGAGGTCTGTCGCTGCAGACGACCGACTGACTGACGGAGTGATTGATTGAAAGACAAACAGACAGAAATAGAGAGAAAATTTCAGCATACGAGGTGACCTTTTCCTGTCTGGAGACTTTTCCGGTCTTCGACTAACGCAATGCAGATGCGACCTTTAATGGGCTCATTTAATCTATTTCTTAGTTTAAGTCGCATGGGCTCCCAAGGGTACAGTTCCGAGCGTTCGACTGTTGCGTACCTTCAAATGACCGTTTCATTCATGACGGAGGAACCACGATCAAATGGGCCCGTTTCCAGACGACGCGCAATTGCTTGTTAAACTTTGCTGGCCACGTCGAGTTGCCTTCAATTTAGCCGAATTTGAGCGTAACTGGTTCTTCGCCTAAAAATCGACAAACAGGCCGACTTGAACCTCAGTGAGACTTGTAATTAGATGAGGTTACTGCTGCTAAAGACGCATCGATCTTCAGCGTTATTGTTCACTTGTTACTCAGTAACCTCTATGTTGAATTGTGCATGCTGGAATATTCTGTCTTCTTCGCTGCTGTCAGCGGTTCCTCTTCTCCCGCAGCGTAAAATCCGTTCATCTGACCTGTCACGACGACGATTGGACAAATTACCAAGGTTTCCTTCGCACTCTGATTTTGGAACTTTCGGCCATCAAATGATACACCAAATACATGGCGATTTCTTCCAGTGCAATGATTACTGTGAGCAATTGTGATTTACAGTTGATGGAGGTGGTCCACTGAATAAGCACGAACGAATATTTGAGTGAACGAATAAGGGCCCTCTCGCCAATGACGTCATCTACTTGAGGTGGCTTGAAGTGACACAAGAGCATTTTTACGCACGACCATTCTTAAGCCTTAAAATCGTCTAAATTATGCACTGAACTCAAAAAACTCCTACGCTAGAACTCATCGTACTATGAGCCGCGAGTTGAGTGATTACACGGTAAGTTCCGTTCATGAAGAAACGGCAATTTATTTCAAATTTGCGGCAGTTTGAAACTTGCAATTCATCCAGTCAGAAGGCAGGTACTGTGAACGATATTTAAATTGGGCGTAATTAAGCTGCCATTATTAGTCATGCAAGAAAGCGATCAACCAACGAGAAACGACTATCGCAACGGCTATGAATCTAGAAGTATTTGATAAACGAATATAGATGGCCGTGACCTGGATGATTTCTTGTAAAAGGCGCACCACTGCTTCTGCGTGGTTGTGAAAGGGCGATTGTGATGTTAGACTTCGACGACGAGGTGACAGCCTGGTATGAATTACTCTCGCACCGGTGAAAATCACTTCAGCAACCT